CATGGGCAAATGTAGAAGATTGCTAGGGGATAGGGAACAAATATCCTCTAGCTTTCTTTCTCTTATATGGTAGAATAAATTGCTCTCTGAAGTTGATTTAATCATCTACTTAAGGTATACTTAAATAGACTTTGGAAGTGATTTATTTCCCTTTCTTAGAAGGATCTAATATCTAATTAATTTGGGAATTTACATCAAAATAAGAAACAATCTTATGTTTCCTAAAGCAAGGGAAGATCTCTACACCATTGGCCCTTTCTTGTGAGCAGCTCAATAGGTGTGTGGGCATTTGTGGAGCAAAAAATAATAAAGTAAATTATGGAGGTGACACATGGACTTTTGAGTATAGAAGGACAAAATTACCTTCGAGGCACACCGGGATTCTCACGCGCATCTAACGAACAATAATGGCTCAATCAAGGAAGAGTGAAAGGTGATCAAATGATATTTATTCAAATCCCTCTCATCACTCCTCATCAAATCCTCACTCAAAGGTAACTCCCAATTTTGCTATTCAATTTAAGATTAATTGCCAAGTTAATTGCAAGATATTATTTCATAAAATATTTTGTAATTATACTCACAATTTCACCATATGTGGCCGGCCACTATTCTCCAAATAAGGCCGGCCACTCCCCTATGAATAGCCCTATTCTCCCACTAAAAAGTTAAGCCATTTGCTACCCACAAACTCCAAAACACATTCTTCTCAGAATTCTAACTTTGACAACGGAGATTTCGGCCAAAGCCCTCCCCTAGTTCATTGTGGGCGCGTAAGGCTTTTGGACTTAATCTTAGGTGTTATTATTTTGCAGGTGCATTTTCGTCAAAGGAGAGGACAACCGAAATTTGCATCCACAAAACAATTTTGCAATTTATGCATTCCAACACAATTATGTATTTTTTTTAAGTATAAATATACATTTTTTATGTGATATAATAAACTTGATTAAAATTGAAAAAAAAATCCACCTAGGTCCTACCTAGACTCCTAGGCATTGAGGCCCTGCCCACCGCCCAACTAGCGCCTAGCACCTTTTAGAACTTTGATTTGTACAGGCAAAATGGTCGAGAGAGAACGAAGGAAGACAAATGAATAGGAGAAAGGATGGGAGGGGTACAACAATTCAAGTAAAAAAAGAAGTAAAAAAAGAAATAAAAAATAAAAAATGATAATTAGTTTCCCATGTTGCATAATTTTATAGGAAAACTAATGAAAATGACTTGAAACTTTGAGTTTTAATCAAAATGACAAAAAGGTGTTGTAAGTGAATAATATCATGAATGACTTTTTAGAGTAAAAATATCATTTTCGTTAAAAGTGTACAGTACCAGGAGTGTTTCGTTAAAACCCCCTAGTTTTATTGGATGGTAGTCTACACATGTTGCCATATACATAGCTTTAAAACCACATAAGCAAATTTAACGGATTGTGTGACGAATTTAATGAAAACAAGGCAATTTGGAGTAAATTTTGAATTTCAAGAAGTAAAGTGATGACTTTTGAATTTCAGAGACAAAGTGTGATCAAAATCAAATTTCAAGGGACATAACAAAAAAACAAAGCTTTAAGTTTTACATTTTTGAACCCTAACTTCTGAAGGTTGGTTACACATGTTCACAAAGCCGGTGGCTTGGGCCAACTGTTGGTTGATGACCATTAGTTGGATCCGAAAACAAATCAATTTTGTGACATGTTTTGATGGCTACACATACGCGTGGTCCTTGTAAACTTATACCTTGTCTGATGATCACGAGGTTCCAACTAATCTTCTGTCCATCTGTCAATCTCTCTCTCTATGATGATGGAAAGGGTTTCACCTACTATTCTACTACTAACTTATACGTATGCTTAAAATGATGCATTTTTTATTAGCCCGGGCAGAGTTACTGTAGTAAACAATACAGAGACAAAATTGGAAGTGCGGAAGAGAAAGTGGGGTTAAAAATCAAAATAAAATTATAATACTCTTTACTTTTTGAAATAAATATTAGAAACTTCTAGTACTTAAAGGTTACAACCGTCATTTTAAACCTCTGTAATTGATAGAGAGAATTCTCTTAATATATAGTATGAATAATCACCACGAGGTGATCAATTAATTGGAAAAGAATTTCATACCCGTATTCCACCAGCACATTCTGAATCTAGCTGATGAATCACACGATGATGGACATGAATGCTGAAATGCTTATGTGCCCACATGCACATACTATAGCCATTTAAATAGCCCAATAGGACAAACCGAACATTTTGGTAAAGGGAAATTTTATTTGAATCCATAAAACCTTTCTCTACACCTAACTTCAACTTTGAATGTGAATTATCCTTTTTACCCTACTGTATAATTACCACTAGCTACAAGATGAAATTAACAATAAACTAAAATTTATCAATAAACCCACATCTAATAATCAAACCCTACCATCATGGAATCTTTATCCTACATTCATTCTAACTAAAACCTAAGACGCTTTCATAGAGAAAAACAAGCTCTTTTTGAACGATGGATGGTGATTTAGAAGTTTTGAATCTTCCAACTAAAGTATATATCGATTTTTGCAAGTTTTTTTTTCGTTTGATTTCAATTTTTATTAGGATTTAGGAAAAAATTCAGCACATTTTCTAAAGCATAATTACTAGCAAAAACATATATATGGGATTTAAAATTTTAAAGTCTAGCAACTTGTGTGAATGTCACGCTTTCTTCTCCTTTCATTCGTGAAGGGTGGAGGCTATACTTTGCTTGTAGTTTTGATGGCAGTGCATAGCAGCATTATAGCTATTGTTCTTTAATTTAAAGGTCTTGAGATCCTTCTATCCGGTGAAACAAATGTATGTAGTCTCCAAAAGGTTCCCATTTTTTCTCTTGCTTCAATCAAAATTGTTTTTCATAATTTAATTCGGTTGTTTGGATGTCAAAAATGTTTTGATTTCATTAAAATATAGGAACTTGAGGTTCAAGTAGGTTCATAGCATGAAAAAATATGCCTTCAATTTTAGAGTTGAATTTTTTTATCTTGATTATGATAATTAAAACATAATCTTGTTTTGATTACGAGATTATTAGGTACCCTTATCGTCATTTAATGGGAAGAAACTGTGCATCTACTTCTCTACAAATTGGTGTAGGCCTTGCAATTACCCCTAAGCATTGCAAGAACGTGACTTTATGAAATGCTTAGAGTGGAAGGCAAAGAGTTTAAGATAATCTTTATCTCTTTCGGTTGTGGTGAGGTAAAAAATGAACACTTCAAGTGCATGTCATGGCTGGCATTGAACGGATGCTATTTTCCATAAAGGATTGAGTGAAATCTACTGTTGGGTTTTTATTTTCTAAATGGGTGTAAAGATAAATTTATATATTGAATTTGGTTTGTGAGGGTAGTTTAGGTAGTAAGTTGGGTTTAAAGAGATATTGAGAATTTAATTAAAAGTAATATGGGTGTAGAAAGTAAATTGGGTGTAGAAAGATATTTAGAAAATATGACTTTAGACCCTGAAATTTAATTTTCTCCACATAAAACCCGTCATAAGTTTTTTACTCAAATAAAACCCATTAACTAGATTCCACATCAGCAAATTCATTTATTATATTTTACTTTACACATTTAAAAAATTTTGATGCCCAAAACACCCCTATTTGAATGTTTGATGTACACAATTAGTTCCATATAGATTGTAAGGGAAAATTAATGATTTTACGAAAATAATAAATAATAAATTTATTGCCTAATATATAATAACAACAAAACATGCCTAATATATGTAATAATACATGCTTAGTTAAGTCAACAAATTATATTTTACATATAAATGTAGGTAAATTATTTCACACACATATGTAACATCCCACATCGCCCAGGGGAGTGGATCGTGTAAGCCTTATATGTATATTCTCATCTCTACCTAGCACGAGGCCTTTTGGGAACTCACTGATTTCGGGTTCCATCGGAACTCCGAAGTTAAGCGAGTTTGTGCGAGAACAATCCCATGATGGGTGACCCACTGGGAAGTTCTTGTGTGAGTTCCCAGAAACAAAACTGTGATGGCGTGATTGGGGCCCAAAGCGGACAATATCGTGCTACGACGGAGTCGAGCCCGAGATTTGGTGGGGGCCCGGGCCGGGATGTGACACATATATAACAAAAAAAAAAACATGCATGGTATACGTAAAAATTCATGCAAAATAATTTAAAAAATGTTATTTGATTCAGTGCACCTACTATTCGAATTTTAAAAATGTTAGATTGCTTAAAAAAAGCAAAATAATTTCCCCACTATATGTAAAATACATGCAAAATAATTTACCTACGTAATGAAGCAAACCCAATGTATGCAAAATAATGTACCTACATAAAAAAATATTATTATTTTATTCAATACTATTTTACCTATTATTTTGTACATATAATAATAAAATGTGCCCAATATATATGATGATACATACAAAATATATGTTATTTGCTCATCATAAATTTACATATAGGTCGATTAATTAGTATAATATGTTTGATCATATATGTAGTACTGTGCATACCTACATATATATATATATATATATATATATATATTGAGCTTGTGATAGTACTATACACATTTGAACGTATATATGTGTATATATATATATATATATATATCTGTGTGTGTGTGTGTGTGTTAGGGGTAATAATATGCAATAAATTATTTGTTCATTGTAATTAAGGTGAGTAATAATATTTAGGGAAATTTTGAATGTTGTGGTACAAGTTGTAAATATTTTATATTAATAGGTCAATTACTTTCCTACATGGCAATCACTTTTAAATTTGGGTTTTATTTGAATGTTTATAATTAGGTGGGTTTTTATATAGGAAATAAGAGTTACAAGGGTCTATATCTAAAGAACCCTAAAATTTGTCTTTGGTAAATTCATGTCACCTATCGTTCCCTATGTTACTACGTGGTACGTACAACGTTGGCCCCGCACAGAGATAATGACATCCTATATATGTGATGAAATGAGACTTGCAGCAAGTAAAGCATCTTCACCATGTTGCCACAAGCACTTCTTCTTATGGCTCTTTTGAACACCAATGTTGCATCAACGTCAAACATCATCACCGCCCTACCGGGCTTTCCCGGTAACCTCCCCTTCAAACTTGAAACTGGGTACGTAGGTACTTCTTGTTTCTTTCCAAAACTATTATCTTCTCTACTCTGTAAAAATAAACTTGAGCACTGTCAATTATGTTACTTTAATACGGAAGATGACTATGAAATTATACGAATTTGAATTTGTTATACAAAAGGTACGTGGGAGTAGGCAACATGGATGATGTGCATCTATTTTATTACTTCATTGAGTCTGAAGGGAGTCCAGAATATGATCCTCTTGTGCTTTGGCTCACTGGAGGTCCCGGTTGTTCTGCGTTTTCTGGCCTCATATATGAAAATTTAGGTACTTGCTTAATTATTAATTCACTGTCTGCATCATTTCAGAGGATATAATTCAATATTATTTTATATTTTAAGACATTGGTGATATGAAATTAAGGTTGTGTGTGACGTAGGCGAGAAGTCCAGTGCGAAAAAATTGTGATGTCAATTTTGGAGGCAGATTGTCTACCCTCCTGTTTGGGTGTCATTTTCATCCCCTCCTATTTGTGCGGTTACGGTTAAGCTACGTTAACATTTTATATTCTTATTGCTTTTTGTCTTATTATCTCTATAAAAAAAATTAATATAAAATGTTGACGTGGTTTAACCGTGACTGCACAAATAGGAAAGGATGTGAATGACACCCAAAAAAAACAGTTCAGTATTTATTAGTATATTATTGCATCTCTTTTATTATTATGTCATTTATGTGGCATGAGAGAAACTTCAATAAAAAACCTAAAATGCATAAGGTTTGAGTCTATAACAATTAAGAACTAGGGACCGCAACTAAACTATCTCAATTATCAATCATATATCAACAACATACCAATAAAAATTCTAAAAAACAGACCGTTTCAGAAATTGAAATGTGTAATTTCATTATTTAATCCAATTTCTCTATAGTTTGATGAATGAATTTTATTTTCTTGAACTGTGTGGGCTATGCGTTTATAAGTAGGAGTTTTGTAATTCAAAGGGTTTAGCCAGGTGTTAATTGAACACATATTACTCCCAAATTTCCAATTGCAACAATTTTGAACATTATTCAAAAGATTTTGTCTGGTGCAAGTAATTTTATTCAAAACTTGATTATTGTAAACAACTTTATTTTGTAATCGTTTTTACTTTGTTTTAGGTCCACTATCCTTTGACTACGCAAATTCCATTGGCAACAAGCCACAGTTCAAGTTGAATCCATACTCATGGACAAAGGTGTGAGACTAATTCAATTGCCTTCAAAATGTGTGTGTTTTTGTATTTGATATCAAATGCTGCAGCTTTGATTTATTCAGGATTTTATAAAAATATTGTCAATAACCCAAGAATTTCAGGTTGCCAACATAATATTTTTAGATGCACCTGTCGGCACCGGATTCTCATACGCAAAAACTTGGAGAGGGTACGCTAATATGAGTGACACTTTATCAGCAGCACAAACGTATGAATTTCTAAGAAAGGTGAGGATATATTTAGCCACCAACATGGAGTATTCATTAATTTGTTTGAGAACATACAAGGTTTTTAGCTACATTCGTGTATTGGTGCAGTGGCTTATGGACCACCCTAAGTTCTTCAACAATCAACTCTATGTTGCTGGCGATTCTTATTCGGGCATAGTTGTTCCCATTATCGTTCAGAAAATATCCGATGGTAAGCTACTTACCATAACCACGTCGGGCATAGTTCTTCCTCTGTACATTCGACCTTTAATTAATTCAGTCTCACATGCATATGAGGTATTGGTCTGCAGTTGTTTTGTTTGTTTCTTATGTGTAGGTAATCATGATGACAATGTGCCGCCAATAAATATCAAAGTACATCTTCTGCAACTAGAATATGAATGACTTCTGTTATGCTATAGTAAATTAGTTCCTGATCATATGCCTCGGGGTCTTAACACTATGCTGAACAATATAATGATCTCTATGTTGGATGCAGGGATATGTGCTTGGCAATCCAGTGACAGATTTGGACAAAGATGGGGATTCCAGAATTTTATTTGCTTACCTAAAAGCACTTATATCAGATGAACTGTACCAGGTGAAATAGCCTCTTGTTGGTTTCATGTAGAGATTTGATTGTGGCTATTCAGATTAGTCTGAACTACATTTGATCAAAATGTTGGATTTGGCTCTTAAGTTATATCTATAGTTGTCTTAAAAACAACAATGTCTCTCAAGTTACAACGTTTCATAATTTTGCTAGTCACTTGAAACTAATTGCAACGGAGAGTATATCAATGTGGATCCAAACAACGCATTATGTATGGATGATCTAGAAATTTACAACGAGGTTAGTGGAAACATAGTAAGGTCCTTAGTTTCTGCAAGTACTTGTCACTTTTAAGTAACCTGGGATCATTATACTGACTTTATATTTGAATTCACAGTGCACTGAAGACATACGCTCTGTACAGATATTGGAACCTTCATGTACTCTAACTTCGCCAAAATCAATGGGATCAATATGGAAACCCGACCATCACAGTGATAGGGACTCTAAAAATATCCTCCTTACTTCTTCTGGACTTCCTAGGCCATGGTGTCGGGTATATATCTCTCAGCATGCACGCACAAGCAAACACACGTGCACTCTAATCATATCTGCCTTGTTTTAATGTAGGAATACAATTATATCCTCTCTGAAATTTGGGCAAATGACAAAACTGTTCAAGATGCTCTTCATGTTCGGGAGGTAATCAATTAGTTTATTCTAAAAAAATCCTCTTCAGGTTCTCATGACATTTTAGAGGACTTTAATTTTCTGATTTTAAATGACAATTAGGGAAGCATTGAAGAATGGGTGAGATGCAATTACAGCTTACAACATTCATATATAAAAGATGTTTCCTCTAGTCTTGTATATCATGAGAACCTCATAAAAAAAGGCTATAGAGTTCTTATTTACAGGTAATATATCTGTCCAATTTTCTTTCATTAGGGAAGTTTTCTAACAGAATCTGACACAATGTGTTTCCTTATATACCGCATGATCATTGCTTCGGCACTCAAAATTTCTGTTAACAGTGGTGATTATGATATGTTCATTCCATATGTGGGTACTTTTGCTTGGATCGAGTCGCTTAACTTAACTGTTGACAGTCGTTGGAGGCCATGGTTCGTCAGTGGGCAGATTGCAGGGTTTGTGTTGCATTTTCGCTTACGACATAATCTTTGTTCCCCCGTTCAAACTGAGTTTAATTATAAATTTAGACTACAATTATCACATGCTTACCACATATAATGTTTTTACGTTTAGATACAGTGTGCAGTACTCACACATAACTAATTACAAGTTGACATTCACGACTATAAAGGCAAGAAGCCAAGAACCTTCATGAACTTAATTTTTCATAGATACTAGAGTTTGCTTGAGCAAAAGCTGACTAAATTTTTCTCTTAATGCAGGGAGCCGGTCACACAGCTCCAGAGTACAAACCTGAAGAGTGTCTTGCTATGATTAGTAGGTGGTTTGCATATTACCCTTTGTAGTCAGTAATTCTAATTACGTACCCATCAATTTATAGATCCTCATTTATTTGGAGTAGATTTATAATTTATAATAATGTATGGAATAAACAATGTGTTGTATGATAGGAATCTAAAGGATAAATGGTTGTTGTATGACAACTGAGATGGTGCCAAGTGTCATCATATTAGTGAATAAGATTGTATTAGCTGTAAAAGTTGTTAGTTGGTTGTAATAGGAAAAGATTGTTGTGGTTAGTTGCTATATAGCAGGAATTGTAAGATACAAAGGATATGTGATAAAAATTGTATTGTCTTCTTCTTGTTCATATTCTCTCTCGACTTCTATGGCAGCTTAAGAGTCAAGGTTGATTTAGGGTCTATCATTGGTATCATCAGAGCCAATCACGATCTTTCATCCCTTCTCTGTACCGTATGACTCATGCTTCTACAAAGAAAGCCATGGATCCATAGAATCAACTTTCTGCAATAAACAACACTCTCAACATCCTACTTCAGAGGTTTGACGCCATGGAAGAACGCCAAGATTCATCCGACGCTCGATTTGAGAAATTTCGCGATTTTGTGCGAAATGTGATATGGTTTTTCATGTGGACTCCTCAGATGTGACCCCTTCAGATCCCAATTTGCATGAAGATGCAAGAAATCAACAATTCAATCGCCAAGATTCAGGTTTTCACCCAAGACCTCCATTGGTGAAATTGGATTTTCCTCGATTTCACGAAGGTGATGACCCTCTCGGCTAGGTTTATAAAGTGGAGCACTACTTTGATTACTTCACCATTCCAGAAGATAAGAAGGTTCGAATGGCCTCCTTCGACATGGAAAATGAAGCATTTCAGTGGTTTCAATGGGTGAATTGTGTCAAGAATTACCCTAAATGGGAAGATTTCACAAAGATTTTTTGTCGCAAATTTGGATCACCTGATCTTGTGGATTGCACTGAGAATTTAGTGAAGCTTCACCAAACTGGGTTACTCAGGGATTAGGAATTCCGTCGATTAGCGAATCGTACTATGGAAATGACTCCAAGAATCTTAAAAAGTTGCTTCATTGGGGTTTAAAACCGGAGATTCAGCATGATGTCAAGATCCTTCGCCCTTTCGATGTTCATGAAGCTATAGCCTATTCGCAACAAGTGGATGCTAAATTGGCAGAGCTCAAGGTAAAATCTTTTTCAAGAAATCCATTCCCTACATCACAATTCAAGCCTACTCATCTGTCTGACATTACCAATATACCAAAACCTGAATCTTCAACACAAAATGATAATTTTCGACGACTAACAGTTGCAGAAATTGAGTTTCGAAGAAAGAATAGATTGTGTTTCAATTGTGATGAGAAATTTTCTAAAGACCATGTGTGTGCTGGTCCTAAATGTCAAATTTTACTGATAGATGTGTATGAAAATGGCCATTTGATTGAGCATGAATCTGATGATACTGATGAACCTGAAGTTATGGCTTGTGCAGTTTATGGTATGCCTGCTCCAAAGTCTATTCGAACTATGAAAGTCAATGGGTTGGTGTTGAATTGTCCTGCTATTTTTTTGATAGATTAAGGTAGCTCTCACAATTTCATTGACATTGCTTTAGTAAAACAGTTGAAGGGTCACTTAGATACTACACAACCATTTTCTGTTAAAATTGCAAATGGAGGTTCACTCACCATTCCGGGTTGTTTAGCACAAGTCTCTGTGAGAATTCAGAATTATGCAGCTGTGTTGGATTTTTACGCTATTCCTTTGAGAGGGTGCGATATTGTTCTTGGCGTACAGTGGTTAAGAATGTTGGGACCCTTTTTGTGGGATTTTGAAAAAATGGTTATGCAGTTTGTTGTTGGCATTACTACCTTCTCTATCACAAGTCCTCAAGTTCAAGATCCTCAGTCAATATCTTCCTTGCAAATGGATAGATTACTCAATCATGATCATTGTTTGGGAGTTGCACTATTTGTTTTACAATTCAGTGAGGAGACTATACTTCCTTCCAATCCTCGGCAACTGCCTTTTCCACAAGAACAGGATCTGTAGGTTTTGTTAAATCAATTTCAGTCTATATTTCAACCACTATCAGGGTTGCCTCCGTCACGGTCACATGATCACAGGATTCCTTTAATAGAAGGGTGCAAGCCTCCTAGTGCAAGACCCTACAAATATGGTCCTTTCCAAAAGACTGAAATCGAACAATGTGTCTAAGAATTGCTAGATTCTGGTTTTATAAGACCAAGCCATAGTCCTTTTTCCTCTCTAGTTTTGTTGGTGAAGAAAAAAGAGGGTACTTGGAGAATGTGCATGGATTATAGGGCACTCAATTTGTTCACAATGAAAGACAAATATCCTATACCATTGATTGATGAGCTCTTAGATGAACTCTTTGGTGCCAAGTATTTCTCAAAACTGGATCTTCGGTCGGGCTATCACCAGATTCGTATGCATCCCAAGGATTTTGATAAAACGGCATTTCGAACTCATGAGGGACATTATGAATTCCTTGTTATGCCATTTGGCTTAACTAACGCCCCAGCCTCCTTTCAAGGTCTAATGAATGAGATTTTCAAACCTTATTTGCGGAAGTTTATCTTGGTATTTTTTGACAATATTTTGATATATAGTGCTTCTTGGGAATTACATCTCCATCACTTGAATCTTGTTTTGAGTTTACTGCAAGATAATCACCTCTTTGTCAAGCTCTCTAAGTGTGCAACGCAAATTGAGTATTTGGGGTATACAGTTTCTGACAAAGGAGTGGCTGCTGACCCTTCAAAATTAAAAGCAATTGCACAGTGGCCTAAACCGCCTTCTATGAAAGTTTAACGGGTTTTTTAGGCCTCATTGCGTATTACAGAAAATTTATTCCCTATTATGGCAAAATTTGTGGTCCTTTGACTCCACTCACTAAAAATGATGGATTTCATTAGACCCCTGCAGCAATGGCCGCATTTCAAGAACTCAAGAGTGCCATGATGTCTCCTACAGTCTTGGCTCTCCCAGATTTTTCAAAACCCTTCATTATTGAGAGTGATGCTTCAGGTACGGGTAAATGAGCAGTGTTGCAACAAGAGGGTAGGCCGATTGCTTTTACAAGCCAGTCTTTAGGACCAAAGAATCAGGCTTTATCGACTTATGAAAGGGAAATGTTAGCCGTAATTCATGCAGTTAAGAAATGGCAATCGTATCTCCATGGGAACCATTTCATTATACGAACAGATTATCATAGCCTCAAGTATTTTCTGCAGAATCGTGCTAATTCTCCTTTTCAACAAAAATGGGTTTCGAAATTACTTGGTTTTGATTACGAAATTCAGTACAAGAAAGGGAATGATAACAAGGCAGCAAATGCTTTGTCTCGAATGTTCTCAAATTCGAGGATTCCACCTGACACTACTTCAACTACTCTGGATGTTTCTGCCATGAATAGTATTGCTCCTAATTCCGTGCTTCCGGGAGTACTTGGCAGTGAACTTACTGCCATATCTTATCCTTATATGTCTTGGCTCGATGACCTTCGTCGACATGTTGAGCAAGATGATTAGATCTTAGCCAAATCACAATCAGTTTTGAATAAAACTTCGGATTCTATTCCATTACAATTCTTGAGATATCACTTTGCTAATGGTTTTTTGAGATACAAAAATAGGATTGTCCTAAGTCCTACAAGTTCTTGAAGGGTGAAATTGTTTGAAGAGTTTCACTGCACACCTAGTGCAGGTCATGCAGGTTTTCTTAAGACTTATAAACGCATCCCTAAGTCTTTTTATTGGGAAGGTATGAAGAACAACTTCAGGGATATGGTTGTTGGTTGTGATATCTGTCAGAAAAACAAGTATGAGTTCCTTGTTCCCGCAAGACTACTGAATCCTTTACCTATTCCCCAAAGAGTGTGGACTGACATATCCATGGACTTCATCACTGGACTTCCTCCTTGTAGAGGCAAATCTGTCATATTTGTTATGGTTGACCGACTTTCAAAAGCTGCACACTTTTTATCCATGTCTCATCCTTATACTGCTCACTCCGTAGCTCAGCTTTTCATCGATCAAGTGTTCAAACTACATGGGATGCCAACCTCCATTGTCTCAAATTGAGACCTTATTTTCATCAGCTCTTTTTGGAAAAAGTTCTTTAAACTTCAAGGCTCCAGATTGTGTCTTAGTTTAGGATTTCACCCCCAAACTGATGGACATACTGAGGTTTTAAATCGATGTTTAAAAACATACTTAAGGTGTTTTTGTAGCTTAGAGCCCAAGTAATGGTTGAAATGGCTTCCATGGGTGGAATGGAGTTACAATACATCTTATCCTACTGCAACGAAACTTACACCTTATGAAGTAGTGTATGAGCAGTCTCCTCCACATATTCCAATCTATGAATCTGGAACTACGAAGATTGACTCGGTGGATCAGTGTTTACAAGATCGAACTCGGATTTTATCTCTTCTCAAGACCAATCTGGAAGCAGCTCAAGTAAGAAGGAAAAGTCAGGCAGATAAACATCGAACTGAGAGGTCTTTTGAAGTTGGTGATTATGTGTATCTCAGGTTGGAACCTTACCAACAAAAGTCCCTTGCTCTACATCGTTATCATAAATTGCATCCTCGGTTTTATGGTCCCTTTGAAATTCTTACGAAGGTCAGACATGTAACCTACAAGTTAAGGTTGCCACCTCATTCTAAGATTCATCCAGTTTTCCATGTTTCTTGTCTCAAGAAACAACTGGGCACATCAGCCTCTACTACTATACCGCTTCCATCTGCTTATGATGCAGGTCTGATTCAGGATGAACCAACAGCTATCCTGGATCGACGGGTCATTAAACATGGGTCGACTCCTGTCAACGAAGTCTTAGTGCATTGGCGGAATCATCATGTTGCCAATGCATCTTGGGAGCGTTTGGATGATTTGAAAGCTCGATTTCCTGACTTCCAGCCTTGAGGACAAGGCTAATTTCAAAGGGGGGAGTAATTGATAGGAATCTAAAGGATAAATGATTGTTGTATGACAACTGAGATGGTGTCAAGTGTCATCATATTAGTGAATAAGATTGTATTAGCTGTAAAAGTTGTTAGTTGGTTGTAATAGGAAAAGATTGTTGTGGTTAGTTGCTATATAGCAGGAATTGTAAGATACAAAGGATATGTTATAAAAATAGTATTGTCTTCTTCTTGTTCATATTCTCTCTCGACTTCTATGGCAGCTTAAGAGTCAAGGTTGATTTAGGGTCTATCATTGTAAGCTTAGTCGGGAGGTGTTCAATTTTCTTTTGCACATTACTAGAGAGAGCTGTGTTTCATCTTTTCATATTGAATTTAAACACTTCAACGCACGCTCTAAACATATCATTTGGGCGTCTAGATAAATTACATTGCCAATTGTCTTTAACAAATTGATTGAATTCAGAGTGATTAAGCCACATTGCCTCAAACTTGAAAGAGTTCTTCCTTTTATAGCCAATATTATTACATTGAACTATAATAGGACTAAGGTCCGAGCCAAATATTGGCAAGCTGTGTAAATGAACCTTTTCAAACAGATTTAGCCACTCGAAATAGCAAAATTAAACACGGTCTAACCTTTCAAAAACTACCGAGTTATCTTAGGTTCATTTGTCCAACTGAAAGGAACTCCAGAAGCAGGTATAGAGACAAGATTACCATCACTTGTAAAATTGTTGAAATCAATCATGTACATAGTTATTGTTACATCCAAGTTTAGGATATTGTTAAAATCTCCCAAGAGTAACCAAGGATCGTTATTTGGGTTCGGTGTAAGAATTTTAATCCATAATTCCTATTGTAATTCTTTCTGAGGTTACGCATACACTAAAGTAATCAAATAACTTGTATCACAAACAAGATCATGCAAAGTAGCATTTATACAACGATCAAAAGAGCATATTATATTGATATTCAAGACATTTGATTCCCAGAACAAACAAAGGCCACCAGCCCTTCGACAACCTACTGCATTAAATTTACAACAACAACAACAACAAAGCCTTTTCCCACTAAGTGGGGTCGGCTATATGAATCCTAGAACGCCATTGCGCTCATTTGTGTCATGTCCTCCGTTAGATCCAAGTACTCTAAGTCTTTTCTTAGGTCTCTTCCAAAGTTTTCCTAGGTCTTCCTCTACTCCTTCGGCCCCGAACCTCTGTCCCGTAGTCACATTTTCGAACCGGAGCGTCAGTAGGCCTTCTTTGCACATGTCCAAACCACCGGAACCGATTTTCTCTCATATTTCCTTCAATTTTGGCTACTCCTACTTTACCTCGGATATCCTAATTCACAATCTTATCCTTTCTCGTGTGCCCATACATCCCACGAAGCATCCTCATCTCCGCTACACCCATTTTGTGTACGTGTTGATGCTTCACCGCCCAACATTCTGTGCCATACAACATCGCTGGCCTTATTGCCGTCCTATAAAATTTTCCCTTGAGCTTCAGTGGCCTACGAC